TTGATTCCGTTTTCTCCCAGACTCTGTATCTAATCTATCAGAAAGGCTTATTGGCTCTACCTTTTATCCAAACAACAAACCTCTTCAGCATCTCCATTGTTCCCACTTTGATCCAAGCCATCATCTCAGAATTATTTCTGCTCTCCCTTTGCTGCCTATGGTCAACTTTCAAACCAGTAGTCAGATGAATCTTTTTAAAGTATAAATCAGATTATATGATTGCTTTGAAAACTTTGGACCTCTTGTTGATTAAAAGAAAAAAATCCGTTCAATGGCCTACAAGACCATACGTGACTTTGACTCCAGATTATCTATCCAACATTTCTCACTCTGTCCTCTTCCCTCACTCGGTCAACTCCAGTCACACCAGTCTCCTTGCTCCCCCAAACACAGCAGAAGCATTCCTACCCACAGTGGTCAGGCCCCTTCAACTGCAATGTGCTTGCCCTGGCTATCTATCGGCGCTTTCTCTCGCCTCATGCAGTTTGCTGCTGAACTATTTCCACACTGAAGTTGTGACTCTACTTCTGAGTTTATCTTCTCCCTCTTTCTGACTATACTTTCCCCACAGTACTAACATACTGTGCATAGGCTTTTCTTATTGGTGTTTTTTTAATTATACCTCTCTCTCTACTCAAATGTAACCAACAGAGAAGCAGAAACGTTGGCCTGTTTTATGTAGCTCCTGCACCCAGAGCTGTACCCAAGCCTAGTAAGCAATCCAAAAGTATCTGTTGCATGAACATCATATTTTTAAATACGTAGACATAATTTATTAGAAAGGTTTGTGCTCTTGAAATTCCCATTTTCTAAGCCTTTAAATTATTTTTACTTGGGTATTAATAAATTAATTAAATCGTCTTAGAAGTAGGAAACAAAGTTCTCTGCTCTTAGATGCATCTGATATACCAATGTGTTGGTATGACTGCACCTCAGTAATGACAGCGCATTGGCATAGTTGACCCCTAGAAAACCCACCTTGCTTACAAGCAAACAGCAAGGAGACTTTCAACTCCACCAAACATGGGCAAGCCAACTAGTGTTGATTTAATTTGCGATTGGATGCATCAAAAGTTCGTGTTAACTGATGATCAGATCAAAATAGTTCACAAAAATGGACCTTGTTCCAATGGCTCACAAGTGCTGCTGCTTCTTTCTTTTCACGCTACATTTTTTTAAAGTTATTATTGGCGTATCATTCACAAAGCCTGTCATTCATAGTGTAGTCATAGGAAGGAGAGCCATACAATCATCTGCTGATGAGCGATTTGTTTGTCCTGCAACTTCAACTACTCGTAGGCTCTTTGCTGGTGTCAGAAAAGTTGGTGATCTTCCCGCCCCACATATAACACTACAGGACTAGCTCTCTCGAAGGCCTTTTAATTTTCCTTAGACACTTAACCTGAAGTTTCCCCCACCTCGCCAATTAAACCGTAAATTATCTGCCCGGACCCGGCGTAGCAGCATTTTATTTTGTGAGTTAATATTCTTAGAGACAAATTTTCTTACTTGCTGTCTCTCTTTAAATCATTTTACTGGAGGCTCGTGCAACTCTCGTCACAATCCACACCTACATCCATTGTGGAGACAAGTTTTCATGAAGTTCAGTGCCCATTGTTTGAGTAGCTCTTTGAGGAGAACGTCAGGGTCTACCACAGAAAGGAAGACCATCCAGTATGTAGACGTCCATGAATATGGCGGGGTTCATAAAAGAATTTGGTCCCTTAAATGCTGACGACAGTTGTCTAGAGATGGGCATTGGGTGGACATACCTTGCAGAGGGGTAGTGGGGAGATGAGTCACTTAGGGTTCAGTATAGCAATAATGAAGCCCACAACCTTCCTCTGGTTCTTGAACGCTTCCTCCCCCCAACTACCAGGACCCCAATTTTGCCTTGCAGACCTGGTTGGACCAGATGATGCACAGCGGTACAGACGGGAATTGGGAACGCAGGGAATCTAGGACAGAGGAACCTCTCAGGACCAGGGGTGACAGTGGCGATACCAGAAGGGAAAGGGGATGTAGTAGGGGGGAATGGATCACAGGGAGCTACGTGTGGCCTCCTCTCTGGGGGACGGGCAGCGGAGGGGTGGGTGAAGGGAGACACCGGACAGTGTAATATAAGATACAATAATAATTTATAAATTATTAGGGGTGCATGAGGGAGGGGGGAGGAGGAAGGGGAGGGGAGGGGGGAAAAAAGGAAAATTCGAGGCTAGCGAATTTTGGGAATGATGAGGGCAACAAATGTATAAATGTGCTTTACACAATTGATCTATGTATTGTGATGAATTGTATGAGCCCCAATAAATTGCCCAATAAAAGGCCCATCCTTTTCCCTTGGAGAGTGCTGCTGGTTTCAAACTGCTGACCTTGCATAGCAGCCCAACTCAGAAGGGGAGGGGAGCTACGACCCATCTCTTGACTTGCATATCCACCTGCTTATTTGGCTGCCTCCCAGGCATCTCTAACTTAACAGGCACATCCAACACTAAGGTTTTGTGAATGAAAGAATGGATGGGTGAGCAAGTGCGTGAGCAAGTGAATATAATCCATCCTGAAGCCTGCAATCCTTGATCTTCTGGAAGTCCTGGAAGTTCTGGAAGTCCTCCTTGCTTTCAGCAAGCAAGGATGTGTCATCAGCATATTTCAGGTTGTTAATAATCCTTCCTCTAATCTTGAAATTTCTCGGGTGCTTTGCTTTTAGTTGAAGGTCAAATATACTCCAAACTAGGGCAACAAGGAAATTTACTTACTTTGGGCACTTGCTATATGCCAAGTACCCATTATGTGACAGCTGTTTCTGTCATGAGGTTTGCACAAATTTCCAACGCCTACTTTCTACATGCCTGCCACGCGTCCTCCCAGTTCAGTCCTCCATCTAGAGACCACCTGGGATATACTCTTTGAAGACATTCAGACAAACTGTGGGACCAGTTCCTCCCTCCCAGATTCATAATGAGTCTCTGGAGGGTTTCTGCACCTGGATCTGTGCTCAAATGCGACAAGATCTGAAGATAGGGGAGAGAAAAATCTGAGAACCTTGGACCCAAAGGGAGAAAGTGTCACTCTTTGGTTTGTTATTTGGATAGTGTACCCTGTCCCTTTGTCTTAATTTCAATAGCTGCCTGTTTCATACAAATGCTCTGACAATGAAGATGAGCTTCTACATCACCTAGAGAGCTGCTTACACCATGACTATTCCTGATCCCCATCACCAGAGATTAGAAGTCAGGAAGTCTGGGTGTAGTTAGGAGCCCCTGAGTGGTGCAAATGGCTAGCCTGCTCACTCACTGCTAACTCAAAGGACTGATGGTTGAAGTCCCCCCAGAAATGCCTTAGGAGAAAGCCTGTCAAGCACTTCCCAAAAATTCAACCACTGAAGACCCTCTGGAGCAGAGTTCCCCTCTGACATGGATGAACTCTCTGTGAGCCGCCCGCAGAACCCTGTACTGTGCTCCTGCAGAACGCGTGCCTGGTACCTGGGTCAAGAGGTGGTTGTCCAAACTGAACACGGGAACACCGCATGGTTTAAAATCAGGTAAGGTGCGCCTCAGGGTTGTATCCTCTCACCGTACTTCTTCAATCTGTATGTTGGGCAAAATAATCACTGAATTTGGATTTGATGAAGAACAATGCAGCATCAGGATTGGAGGAGGGCTTATTAACAACCTGCGATACACCGATGATGCAACCACCCTTGCTGAAAGTGAGCAGCCCCAAAATCCTTAAAACTGGACCAATAGGGAGCATCAGGAGACATGGGGGAAAGGGGGAAGTTGTCTTGCACAATCGATGCTCATGGAAGCCTCAGTCAAGAGGTCAAAAGACGTGGTTACATTAAGTAACTCTGCTTCACAAGATCTCTTTAGTGCAGTGGTCCTCAGCCTTCCAAATGCCCGGACCCTTTCATACACTTCCTCATGTTGTGGTGACTCCCAACCATAAAATTATTTTCTTTGCTACTTCATCACTGTAATTTTGCTACTGTTATGAATCATAATGCAAATATCTGATATACAGGATGTATTAGGTGACCCCTGTGAAAGGGTCGTTTGACCCCCCCCAAAGGGGTCACGACCCGCAGGTTGAGAACTACTGCTTCAGGGTATTGAAAAGCAAGAAAGTTACTTTGAGGACTATGCCTCATATGCACGTGAATGTTGGGCATTGAATAAGGAAGACCAACGAGGAATTGAGACATTTGAATTCTGGTGCTGGCAAAGAATGTTGAAAATACCAGGGATTGCCAAGAGGATAAACAAGTCTGTCTTGAAAGAAATATGGCCAGAGTGCTCCTTAGAGACAAGGATTTTGAGACTTGGTCTTATACACGGTAGACATGCTGTCAGGAGAGACCAGTCCCTGGAGAAGGACATCATGTTTGGTAAAGTAAAGGGGCAGCGAGGAAGAGGAAGGCCCTCAAGGAGATGGACAAACACAGTGGTTGCGGCAATGGCTCAGGTACAGGAACCATTGGGAGGATGGTGTGGGACTGGGCAGTGCTTTGGTCCGTTGGGGCATAAAGTCACTATGGGTCAGACCCCACTCGATGGCACCTAACAACCCCAACACTGCACGAGTCACCCCAAGGACACCAGGGTTTGGTGCATGGCTTGGGGATCTGGATTGCAGGGATTTGGATGATGTTCCAGGGTTATCGTTAGACCCAAAATACTAATTTACAGAGTAACGAGTTGTACGTTGTTCACCATCTACAGGCCGCCTCACTGACAGCTTCCCCATTTAAGTTACTGTGGTTGCTTCAAACTATGGCACCAAACTCTTTCACTCCTTCCTGATAGAAGTGGATTCTTTCTCTCTTGTCTTTGCTCCCCCAGTGACTCGTCCTTAGATCAAAGACTATATGTAAAGATCTGAGTGCACATTCAACAAACAGTAAAAAGGAATATGTTACCTCCCCATAAGCTCAGACTTGGAGTTTCTGAAGCCCCTGGGTGCTCACCCCCTGCCTGTTTGGTTTGCTCTCTCCCTTGCAGGGATGTCTCCTATACCAGTGTCACGGCCCTGCCATCCAAAGGCCTAGAGCCCCTGAAGGAATTGATAGCAAGAAACACTTGGACGTTAAAGAAACTTCCACTTTCCTTGAGTTTCCTGCACCTCACTCGGGCTGACCTTTCTTATCCCAGTCATTGCTGCGCTTTTAAGAATCAGAAGAAAATCCGAGGGTAAGTGCCATAGGTCTGGAATAAATGACAAAGGCCGTGCTGAACGTTGAATTAATCTCTGGGTTTGGGGAAAAGCTTTGTGGTGTGACAGTGAGGTGGAGAAGAATCAGAGCGTCCACAGAAACAGGCAATCTGTGGGGCAGTTATAACCTGTGACTTGCAAATTACATAGACATGATCTCTGGTCTCCAGCTATGACACATACAAGAGTTCTGGTAGTGTAGTCGGTTACATAGTGGGTTGCTAACCACACAGTCAGCAGTTCAAAACCATTGGCTGTTCCTCAGAAGAAAGGTAAGGCTTTCTACTCCCGTAAACAATTAGAGTTTCAGAAACCCACAGGAGCAGTCTTCCCTGTCTTATAGGGTCACTGTGAGTTGGAATCCACTCGATGGCATTGAGTTTTGAGCTACAACACATATTAGACACCACAAGTATATGACACGATTGTTGGACAAGCTTACAAAGGAAAGACACACTCCACCTGAAGGATGTGACCCATTCAGACCTGACAATGTGGGTTTCGGGTTATCGGTGCGTGGACTTGGGAATCAGCTGGGTTTGGACCCCAGCTCTTTTGCTCCTTAGCTTTGTTGTCCTAGCCAAGTTATATAACTTCCCTGATCCACTGAGAATGGAGGATTCATAGGGATTTTGAGGGCATTCCATGAGAAAATGGATAGACAATACCTAGCACAATGCCGGAGCCGCTGGGTGGTGGAAACAGTTCATGGGCTGGGCTGCTAACCAAAAGATTAATGATTCAAGTACATTCAGACGTGCCTTGGAAGATAGGCCATTCAACCTACTACAGAGTCAGCTACCACGAACCCTATGGAGCACAGTTTTACTCTGTCACACACAGGGTCACCAGAGGTCAGAAGTGGCTCGAGGGCAACCGGAAAAGCATAATGCCTAGAATATTATACATTCTCTGTAAATATTAACTCCAAATGCGTTATTTTCTTGCTAGGTTGCTTGCAAGACTGTGAAGGAAGAATGGCCTTCTTCACTTCCGTGTCCTCTTGCCTCTTTATGTCTCATGCACACCTCTTCCCATTCTTCCAGCTTCACCTTCGTTCGTCTCTTGTCCACTCCTTCCCTCTCAATGTAGGATTGAGTGTTTGCCGATTGACTTTCTGTGCACATAGTTCCAATGAGCCATGAATTGCGATTTAGTTGTAAAAGCAGACGCACACAAGATAGTTGAATAACTGTGGAAAGGAGTCCCTATTAAAAGTCCCTATTAAAAATACATAGTAGTGGGGATGGCGATAGCAGAATCTACACTGATGACTGGCGGCGGAGAGTAGAAGAGGAACAGGCGCTGAGTAGGAGGATAAGTTGGCCTACAGAACAGAGCCCATATTTCTGCTTGCCTGCCAAGGAGGTTGGAATAGCCGGTCCAATGGGCATTTTAACCAGAACCTAGTAAGGGAATCACAATCTACTCAGTAACAGAAGCACGTTAAAGATTGCATTTGTTGTGAGTCTGCTAGACTAGGAAAAAAGTCTTTTTCCATGAACATGACTATCCATTTCTTAATCAAATACTTATTGAGCACCTACTGTATGTCTAACTATTCTGGCAGTGCGGATAGCTACTACAGTCAACAGGATAGATAGAAACACCTCTCTTATGGAGTTTGCATTCGAATGGGGAAAATCAGAAGGCAAACAGGCAAACAAATGAGAAACTATCAGAGAGTGGTATACAGAAAATGAACAGGAAAATAAGATAATTTCCTTACGCAGGTCAGGGAAGGCAGCCCTAAGGAGGAGAATTTGAAATTAGAACTAAATATGAACAGAAGTGCCCATGAGCTTTTCAGAGAAAGGGATCGTGGCATTCCAAGGGCCTGAATAGGAATACTAATAGTAGCTGGCTTTTATATGATGCTAACATGCACCAGGTGCTGTTGAAAGAACTTACAACATAAACCTATCTTATCCACCAGCATCTCTGTGTGGGAAATAGATAGGTTCGTGATTCCATTTCACAAATGAAAACAATGGCTGTTCTTAGACCAGCCCTCAGTGTTAGCCGTTATTTTCAGGAGTCAACGCTGACCCATAGCAACCCCATGTGTGCAGAGTCGAATTGCTTCGTAGGGCTTTCAAAGATGTGACCTTTGGGAAGCAGGCCTATGCTGTCCTGGAGCTAGGCATTGAATCTTTAACTGCTGGTACCAGCCCATCACTCCGGCTGCGCTGTAACAGCTAGGAAATAGCAGAGCCAGTTGCTAAGGTAAGTGGGCAGACTCCACACCCACACTTTTAGAAGGATCGCTGCTGTTCTCAAAGTCCTTGCAGATGAAAAATAAGGCGAATGTCATTGGCTCGCTGTAGAGGGGAGGGGAATCACTGGAGGTAAGGTAAGAGAGGCAGAGAATCCTATAGACCATTGTCAGGCGTTTGCATATTTTTCTAGGTGTTACCAGGACCGCTGACAGGCTTTATGAAGCAGAGAGTGACTTGTTTCTGTTGCCTTGCAGGATCCTTGAGTCCTTAATGTGCAACGAGAGCAGTATTCGGAGCCCGCGTCAGAAGAAATCAGTGAATGCCTTGAATGGCCCCTTTTACCAGGAATACGAGGAGGATCCAGGTGACAGCAGGGCTGGGTACAAGGAACGCACCAAGCTCCAGGACGCATCCAGCAACTCCCATTATTATGTCTTCTTTGAGGAACAAGAGGATGAGATCATTGGTTTTGGGCAGGAGCTCAAAAACCCCCAAGAAGAGACCCTACAGGCTTTTGACAGCCATTACGACTATATCGTGTGTGGGGGCAATGAGGACATGGTGTGTACCCCCAAGTCAGATGAGTTCAACCCCTGCGAAGACATAATGGGCTACAAGTTCCTGAGAATCGTGGTGTGGTTTGTGAGTCTGCTGGCCCTTCTGGGCAATGTCTTTGTTCTCTTCATCCTCCTCACCAGCCACTACAAAATGACGGTTCCACGCTTTCTGATGTGCAACTTGGCCTTTGCTGACTTCTGCATGGGCATGTACCTGCTCCTGATCGCCTCTGTAGACCTCTACACGCACTCCGAGTACTACAACCACGCCATCGACTGGCAGACAGGCCCCGGGTGCAACACAGCTGGGTTTTTTACCGTCTTCGCCAGTGAGCTGTCAGTGTACACGCTGACGGTCATCACCCTGGAGCGCTGGTACGCCATCACCTTTGCCATGCGCCTGGACCGGAAGCTCCGCCTCCGACACGCATATGCCATCATGGTTGGGGGCTGGGTTTGCTGCTTCCTGCTTGCCCTGCTACCTTTGGTGGGAATAAGTAGTTATGCCAAGGTCAGCATCTGCCTGCCCATGGACACTGAGACTCCCCTTGCGCTGGCCTACATTGTCCTCGTTCTGTTACTCAACATAGTTGCTTTCATCATCGTGTGCTTTTGTTACGTGAAGATCTACATGACAGTCCGAAACCCCCAGTACACCCCAGGGGATCAAGATACTAAGATTGCCAAGAGGATGGCTGTGTTGATCTTCACGGACTTCATGTGCATGGCCCCAATCTCATTCTATGCTCTGTCGGCTCTTATGAACAAGCCTCTCATCACGGTGACCAACTCCAAAATACTGCTGGTTCTCTTCTATCCACTGAACTCCTGTGCCAATCCATTCCTCTATGCAATCTTCACCAAGGCCTTCCAGAGGGATGTCTTCATCCTGCTCAGCAAGTTTGGCATCTGTAAACGCCAGGCTCAAGCATACAGGGGCCAGAGAGTTTCTCCAAAGGACGGCCCTGGTATTCAGGTCCAAAAGGCTATCCAGGACATGAGACAGAGTCTGCCCAACATGCAGGATGACTATGAACTGATTGAAAACTCCCATCAAACAAATAAGCAGAACCAAATCTCAGAAGAGTATAAGCAAACAGTTTTGTAGGCTGGCCCTACACGATGTGCCGTGGTAGGGGACTTAACAAAAGACTGGTTTCTTGAGCGTATGTGCCAAGGATGCACACAATGCATGGCTGAACCAACCTAACCCGGGGCAGAGATTTCAGGGGACCAGGGCTCGTCTCTAGAAAGTGACTTGTGTTCATCTCATCATCACCTTGGAGAAGGAAGATGTGCTACCAACTTACCTGAAGCATGATGCTATCAAAACTGATGCTCTGGAAGGTTTGTTTATTGACTACATTCAGAGATGACGTCATGTAAGATGGTCAGTAAATAGCAACTGAGCCATAGCAACAACAAGCTGTTCAGTTTTACACAGCAGTTTACCCTAAGGCTGCCGCAAATGACAAGTGCTACCAAGTTTGTTGGTGACTGCAAGATAGCAGAGAGCCCATCTTGGTTCAGGTCAACGTCATGATCCCAAGAGAGTTTGAACTAGCTTGAAACTGAAAAGCCAAACAACACAATCAGACATCGAACAAGGAGTAGCTATTATGAGACATGAAGGAAGGGAAGGTCTTAGTTTTGAGTGTTTGTTTTTGTTTTTCTAACTCGTTGAAACGTGTAATTATCTCTTCACAAGAATCTACCTGAAGCGGTCCCGCTATTATTTGTTGGCTGGAAAAACAGGCAGGATTTCAGCTTACGTGGCCTAGAGAACTAAGGATTGCTCTTCTTGTCTAGACTCATAGCATAAAGGACATGTACTCTAGAGAGTATTTCTAAGTAGCAATGAGTGTGAGTTATGGGCAGAGAGCGCTGAATAATCCATTGATTAGTGAAGTAGTCTGCCCATGAGTTAACCACGGGGCCTTGGGCAAATCAATCTGTCTCTGGGCGGCAGAATTCTGTGCAAGTAGAGGGATTCAAATGGCTCCTTCCAGTTCTAATACTCCATGCCCATTCATTTCCCTCAGAACCTATAACAATGAGAAAGAAAAGCACTAAGGGAATTGAATGTGTTTTTTCCACCTTATAGGACTTCTTGTTCTCTTTGGAGCCTAGATGTGAGGAAACATCACAAAGTTCTGGAGAAATTGGAATTTTTCCACAAATGTTTTGAAGCCCTCAATAATTTTTTTTCTGTTGCCTTTTTGGTTATAATGTCTGAGCCAAAAATTCAACTGAGTGACCATGTTGTCTTGGATCTGAATCGCTAGTCAAATACTAGTTTATAAACCTATAATTACCAGGCCCAAAGCAGAAAACAACACTAGTTGTTACTCGTATAATAGAATTAAAGTTAGTTTTGCAAATTTAGTTATTTAGAGTTACTGCTGTTCTGTCCAGAGTCACTTCGATAGATTTGTCTTCAAGGGTCGGTCCCTTGCCTCCTTCCATCACACAACACTATCCCAAGAGTGGCTTCTTCTCTGTGGTAACATTCAGCCTTTTCAAGCCCTGCTGATCGCTGAACATAGATCCTCTATTCCCTGTTAATCTTCCTCTATGTCAAACAGGCTTGATCTGTATCTATAGATATCCTCTCCAGATGATCTGTAAAGAAAACCCAAAACCAAACTCATTGTTGTCAAATCCATTCTAACTCATAGCAACCCTATAGGACAGACTAGACCTGCTCTATAGGGTCTCTAAGGCTGTAAATCTTTATGGAAGCAAACTGCCATACCTTTCCCCCAAGAGGAGACATGGCCTTCCCAGTTAGCGGCCAAGTGCTTTCACCCCTGCACCACCAGTTTCCATTATCCAGAAAGACAGCCCTTTTCTTTCCTGCTAGAAAAGAATCCCCAAGCACTACTTCTCAGTGCACTGCACGATGAAATAAAAGCCCTTTGTTGTTCAGTGGTGGATCCAGGTTAATGAGCCAAGTGGGCCCCCAGATGGGGTCTCCCTTGACTCACCTGGTATCTCTCCAGAGATGTGCCTGCTCCCAGTTATCACTGAGATGTGCACATGTTGATACAGGTATCATACACACCTAAAACCGTGATTTAGCCGTCAGTTCACTTGTACCTAATCAGTTCAAACAAGCATGTTACCTTTGGGGTGTCTTTCTCACCTGTGACACCGAAATGTCTCGCTTAGATAAATAATGTATTTTTATATTGAATAGCTGACCTAGTGCTTTGGAAACAAAGTCCTGGAAGGGTGATTTCAGCAGAATTGCAACTATAATGGAACATACCGCATTTGTGGTAGGAAATAAATTTTCTCCCTGTGAAACGCTTGCGCTGATTCTCAGAGTCTTGCTTCTTGTACTTTGTGGATTTCTTTGGGGGTTATCATTATATGTGTTAAAAGTAAGGACAGGAAAAAATAGATACATTTGTTGATAAATCCATATGAACAAATGAATCGTCGGTGATCAATTCATATCACTTTATGTTGATTATAAATGATCTCTATGGTGGGGGGGGACCTTAAGGTGAATTGGATTGTGATTCCTGGACAGTCAGTGAGAAGTAAAAGAAATAACAAAAGAAAACTGTCTGGGCACTGCTTCGTATTGACAGTAGGGCGTTTCAATAGTGCCCACACAAAGGTAATAAATCTACAAAGCCTTTCCACGGTTCACTTCTCCGGCAGCTTTCAGCTCTCTGAAGAGGACCTAAATTACTGTGGAATAAAAGCCTCAGGCTACTCACGATATGTGTCATAGAATTCAAAACCTAAAACTTATCAATGCACACAGTACTCAAATGAGTGTCTCTCAACATATCCCCAAAGTTTATGGACCCTGGGTTAATGGATAATACTCACGCCACAGCAGAAGCCTCCAATTACGGGGTGGCCCAATGCAAGCATCGCTAAAGTAGAGGGGTTGGGGTTCAGCAAAGTATAAGCAAAAGAATTAAAAGTCATAACCATTAGAAAACATATAGTCTTAATTGCTTGTGGTCTTTGGAAAAAACTCTGTTATAACAACCATACCACAGGTGAATGGCTTGGAAGAGCTAAAGGGACAAGATGAACTTCTGAGCAGCTCTACATTCCGGTTTAAAAGATGTCCCAGCTCCATAGGGTGGACCGACGCTCAGAGTTTACCACCGTCTTCTGGCAAATTCCACTGCGATGGGGAAGTGTCAAATGAGACAAAGCCAAACTGCGCTGCGACTAAGCAATGGCAGCAGCAACAGATCAAGGATGTGGATGACATTCTGAGAGATGGGAGTACATGCCTCGTGTTGATGGACCACTCTGAGCAGAGAAGATGCAGCCTAGAACACACTGATCCGTTTGGAAACTATGGAATGATGTACTAATCATTTACCACAAGGGAATTAGAATCATTTAAGAAACGTAACCATCAAAACTAGCACTTCCTTTCTGCCTGTTAGGCAGATAATATTTTGACAAAAACATACCCAAAGTTTATTCCTCTGACTCCATTTTCTCTTTCGAAACAGGAAAGGAATTGCAAAAAAGTCCAAGAGAGCTTTGTTTTTCTAGAAGGATTTCCAAGTTTCTCACCAAGGGCCATAAGAAAGGGAAGAGGTGAAATGTGAGAAAAACAAGCCTAGTGTTATCCCTGTTTCTTTTTAGCAAAGCTTAGGTATAAATTTAATTTCATTACACCTTAGTTTCCCAGATATCAAATAAAGCCTTCTAGACAACCTTCTAGAATTATAACACATATTTAGGCATAGTCAAAATACTGGTGAGACACCTATAATTTATTAATAATAAAAAACTATCTCACTGTGTTTTCACTTAGATATTTCTCAGATTCCTCAAAGTGTTTCTAAGCACTCAGACAGAGAAGGTCCTAGGGAAAGTATTAATAGTTTCAACAAATGTCAGAGAAATGACATACCCTGACCAACTGAGGTCATGGTCCAGGTGAAAGAGGAGATGTCTGACATCACTCCTGTTTTCAACATCTGGAAGTTAACTCTAGTTAGAGGGAAAATATGAACACACACCACTGCCACCCAAACTACTGCTAAGTCTTTGACTTTTTACATCAGCTTATATAGTACCCAAGGATTCTCTCCAAACCAGTTCACCCTACAGCCACACTCTGACTTCCGATTTAAAGAGCATTCAGCTTACACCTACCCCTTCAGGCTACCTGAGTTCTAGAAAACTCCTCTAACGTAACTCATTATCCTCGTCCAGGCCCTAGAAAATGGACTTCTATGCCCTTCATATCAACCTCAAAAAGAACTATCAAGTGGTGGTTGGTCCTGGTTGCTCTAGGATATATTCAGGCACTGTTCAAGAATGATCATCAGAGACGGTCAGCAGGGAGAAGATGCAAAGTAAGAGCCCTAGTTGTTAGGGGTGGTCAAGTTGGTTCTGACTCATAGCAACCCTATGTACAACAGAATGAAACACTTCCCCGCCCTACACCGTCCTCACAATTCTTCTTAAGTTTGAGCCCATTGTTATAGCCACTGCGTCAACCCATCTTTTTTAATAGCCTTATTGGGATATAATTAACATATGCAATTCAGTAATTCAATCATATTAAAAGGAGTCATGCAAGCATCACCACAATCAACTTTAGGACATTTTCTTCCTTCTTGTACCCATGATGTTGGCTTCCCTTCCCCCCTCACCTCTCCTTCCATGCCCTCAGGTAATTATTAATCCAGTTATTGTCCCATAGATTCGCCCATTCTAAATTTGATATACAGAAAAACAAAGACAAGGAACAAAAAATGACCAAATGGAATGGAAAAACCTCAATTGAAAAGAAAGCAGAAAATATTACAAAAATGGAATACATTCAAAATGTGTCAAAAGGGAGATCAAATGACAAGATGTTACATTCCAGCCTAACTACATCTGCTAAAATCCACTTTATAGTGCTTTCTGTCTGATATTAAGGCTATTCACATCCCTATAAGGTGGTCAGAGGGGATTGATGTAGGAACCCTGCAAATGGATTTGGGGCTTCCCCTATCATCCATAGCAATCCGAAAACCAGGTGTTTAGAATTTAAGCTCTGATACAGTTCCTTCCTCCAGGTTTAGACATTATTATTATTTACAATCCTTGGATCACACAGGCTGGTGGTTTCTTCCCTGTGGACTTACAAACTCCTTGCTTGTTTTGCGACAAGCTTTTAAGACCCCAGATGTTCTTCTTTCTGATTGGTAGGCACCCACCATCTGAGATCTTCACCGCATTTTGCTGTCACACCCACGTCTTCGGTGATCTCTTCGTGAGGGCAAGTACAGAGCAGAGCCATGCCACAAGAACTAATTGTTCTTGTATTAGCGCTACAATCAAGTGAGAACTGAAAATCCACTCATGTGTCTTTGGTTTATCTATGTTCTTGGTTCACTTTAGCATGCGTCCATCCATCTTGCCAAGGGCCTTCCTCTTTGTTTCTACCCCTCTACCTTCCCAAGCATGATGTCCTTCTCCAGAGACGGGTCTCTCCTGTTAACACATCCAAAGAGACAAAGTCTTGCCATCCTTGCCTATAAGGAAAATTCTGGTTGTATGTCTTCCAAGATAGATCTGTTTGTTCTTCTAGCAATCCACCGTATGTTCAAAATTCTTTGCCAGCATCATAATTCAAATTTTGTTTAAGATCATCCAACAACAGTTGCAGTAGTACATTGACAAGTAAAGCTACTAGAGGTTCAGGTCAGATTCAGAAGAGGAGATGGAACAAGAAAGATGTTTACTTGTGTTATATTGACTATGCAAAAGCATTTGACTGCATGGACCATAACCAACTATGGATAGCCTTGAGAAGGGAAATTCTAGAACTTTACATTGTGCTCATACAGAACCTGTACATGGCTTAAGAGATAGTTGTGCAAACAGAATAAGAGCACACCGCGTGGCTTAAAATCATGGTTTAAAGGTATACGTCAAGGTTGTATACTCTCACATATTTATTCAACTAGTAGCTGAGCAAATAATCAGAGAAGCTGACTTAATGAAGAATGCAGCATCAAGATTAGAGGAAGGATTATTAACAACCTGAAATATGCTGATGACACATCCTTGCTTGCTGAAAGCAAGGAGGACTTCCAGAACTTCCAGGACTTCCAGAAGATCAAGGATTGCAGGCTTCAGGATGGATTATATTCACTTGCTCACGCACTTGCTCACCCATCCATTCTTTCATTCACTCCCTCACTCACTACCAAGCGGACCTTATATGACAGGGTAGAACCGCCCCTGGAAGTTTATAAGATTGTAACTCTTTATGGGAATAGAAAGGCCCATCCTTTTCCCTTGGAGAGTGCTGCTGGTTTCA